CCTTCTGCCACAGCTAACTGCCACTGATAAAAATTTATTATATATACATATATACATGGGCAGCACGGTGGTGCAACTGGTAGAGCTGCTGCCTCTCAGCGAGCAGGTCCCTGGTTCAAACCCTGGTCCAGGGGCCTTTCTGGGTGGAGTTTGCATGTTCTCTCCGTGCATGCGTGGGTTTTCTCCGGGTGCTCCAGTTTCCTCCCACAGACCAAAAACATGCATGTTAGGCTGATTGGTAACTCTAAATTGTCCCTAGGTGTGAGTGAGAGACTGAATGGTTGTTTGTCTCGTTTGTCTCTATGTGTCCCTGTGATGGACTTGCGACCCGTCCAGGGGGTACCCCGCCCCTCGCACAGTGATTGCTGGACATGGGCACCAGCGACCCCCATGACCCAAAATGGAATAAACGGGTAAAGAAAATGGATGGATGGATGGATATATATATATATATATATATATATATATATATATATGTGTGTGTGTGTGTGTGTGTCTATTTTGGAATTATTTCGCCCCCCCAGAGAAAAGTCCACCTGCCACCGCTGCGGCTGACTCAGTTGGATGGTTTCTTGTGCAGTACCAAAGCTGTCCCTGCGTTGCTCAGGGAGTATGAGGACTGTCAAAGAATCCAGAAAACAATGGAATGTTTCAGTCCCTGTGATGGACTGGAGACGTGTCCAGGGTGTCCCCCGTCCCTCGCACAGTGACTGCTGGACATGGGCACCAGCGACCCCCATGACCCAAAATGGAAGAAGCGGGTAAAGATAATGGATGGATGGATGGATGGATGAGTATGTTGATCACTTTTTCTGTACTCTGTAAATATTTTAAAAGTTAAATGCAATAAGTAAATTATGCATAAATTACTTTCATGCTGCATGTTAGATTTTGCTTTTATGACTGCACAATAGCTAAATATTTACAGTCGTATCACTAGAAAAGAAGGTGAAATTAGAAAAATTAGATCTGCATTGATTGAGTAATGTTGCTCATTATCTCATCTTAGGACAGTGTTTGACAAACGTGTTCCCAGTGGAGGAACATTTGAGTTAAGAGGAGAGCTTTTCTGTCAAGTCACCATGCATCAGACATTTCTACGTTACTCTTGTTATTGCTCCCAGTTTCCAAACCACTCCAGCTCATTTTCAAGTCATAAGCACAATAAATGTACTGTGTTGTCACTTGTGTACTTTGTATTTTTATCTGCATACTTTACAACATGTAACCTCTGATTAGTGTTGACACAAACCGTAGCAGCAGGATAAGTTGGCAGGTGAAAGGTGAGCTGCAGTAAACTGACTCTGAATACGGAGTTATGTGTATATAAGTACCTAATTCAAAAAGCTAAACTTTGAATATGAACGTAATAACTCCAGCAGGGCAGAGATGGAGACAAAGACTTTTAACTGCCCCGAACAAAACAAATAAATTATACTTGGAGGAGAAAAACACACTGACATGTACTTTTAAAAAGTTTTAGTCAATTCTTGTAGTTTTATAGTGATTTGTGACAAAAAGGTGTCAGCAAAGGTGAAAGGAAAAGTTTACAAGACAGTGGTGAGACCAGCTCTGTTGTATGGTCTGGAGACAGAGACATGGACAAAAAGACAGAGACAGAGACATACCACTTTATTTATGAAGCACTTAAAACAGCAACAAGGCCAACCAAAGTGCTGTACAGACAGAACAACAGGTAACACACAAAGCAAAATACAAAATGAGGTGAATAGTTGGCATTCTGCATGCTGTCGCTCACTGCCAGATCTTGTCACAAGTGGCAGCACTCAATGCATGTGTTCACAATGACCCTCAGCTACTACCACACCAAATGATACCTCAATATTTGTAAATTATCTGAACTTTAGCCTTTTTGTGTTGGCTGTTGTTGATTAGCTGTGGCTGCCATGTTGAATTTGAGCGACGCCACGCGTTAATCTAGATGTACATCCAGTTTTTACTCTCCAGGAGTTTAACTACAATCCATTCAGTAGTTTGTGAGATATTTTGAAACAAAATAAATTTTCTTTGATTCAGCAATGTTTTTTAAAACTCGTGATTCTGAGTTTCCAGAGGGAGGTCCGGCTCTGTAGTCCCAAACAGGTCAGGTCACGACCTCTGGACACGTTTCACTCACGGCCAGTGGACATTAAAGACGAGAATCAACCCACCAGGTCTCCTGTTCATTTTATTAACCTTTTTATTGAACCAGATAAATCCCATTGACATCACAGATCTTTTGCAACTGAAGGCAGACTAACATGATGTTTCTGTTCTGTGGGAGGAAACTGGAGTACCCGGAGAAAACCCACGCAAGTACAAGAACATGCAAACTCCACACAGAAAGACCCCTGGTCCAGCCGGGGATTGAACCCAGGACCTTCTTGCTGTGAGGCAACAGTGCTAACCACTGCTCCATCGTGCTGCCTTCCTCTGCAGACTTCAAACCTGAGACTTGACGTTGGAGTTCTGTTCAGGATCAGGGTGGGTGATGGTTAACCCACATGGGTGCTGCACCTGAAACAACAGGGCTGAGAGAAAAGAGGAGAAATTGACTCTGCCAGCTACAAGTTCAGGTTTGGCTTATTTGTCATATGTGAAATCAACACAAGGTCAACATAACGCCGACTATATATGTTCATAAGACTTGTCAATGCATGTTTTAATTTTCCTAAAATACACAAGAAGTTCATCTCTTCTGAGTTATTCATCTTTTAATATTAATGCATCATGAAATATTTAGAAAAAATGTTGTCATGTTAAATCACGACCTTTAGTTTCCAGAACACCTACATTTCAGGACTACAACGTGGTAAAAGTGTCTGTCCAAAATGTTAGTGCCAGTGTAGAGCCCTGAAAATATGTTAAGAACGTGATAGTATTCAATTCA